TTTCTAATTGTTTATTGCCAGTTTGTAGGAAGGTAAGTTTTTATGAGTTCATATAAGTTGATCTTGTATATGACTACTTTGCTGAACTTACTTTTCTAATAGTTCTAATAGTTTGTCAGTTTGTTATTTTGGTTCTTCTAGGTAATAAACTATGTTATTTGCAAATAATAACAATTTTATTTCCTTCTAATCTATATTTATATTTTTATATTTTAAAAATCTATTAAAACATAAAACTTTAATACATATAAAATTTTATATTTATTTTAAAAATTCTATTGTATAGGTTATGATCTCTAGGAAACTAGCAAAATAGTAGGCATACTGGATTTAATGACTTTGCTAGAAATATTTTTAATTCTTCACCATGAAGTATGACATTATAGGAGTCATTTTATTAAGCTAAAATTTTTCTTTTGTTCCTAGTATCAACTGCTGTTTTGGCATGTACTAAGATCACATTGTTTTCCTCTTTTGATTTCTTAATATCACAAATAAGAAATGTGCTATTTTATCAAGATGCATTATAATTTAATTCCCTCACTTCAGTTTGCTAATACTTTATGATTTTTGCATGTAATTCATAATATGTATTGGCTTATAAAGAATAATGCCTTAATAAACCAGACATTCATTCCAAATTAAGTATAGATTTCCCCTTCTTCAGGAATTTGGTTTAGGACCTGTTCATTATCCCCTATTATTTACACTTGCTGTCTATATTAAATTAATACTCCATACTAAATGGCGTATTTTTATTTTTAATAGTACAAAGCAGTTAAAATTCAGTTTCTTCGTGTGATGATTGTTTTTTTTTTACCTTTCTGAGTTTTCCTGTTACTATACAGTCCTCCTTTTTTTTTTTTTTAATTTTTATAAATTAATTTTTATTGGTGTTCAATTTACCAACATACAGAATAACACCCAGTGCTCATCCCATCAAGTGTCCCCCTCCGTGCCCGTCACCCATTCACCCCCACCCCCCGCCCTCCTCCCCTTCCACCACCCCTAGTTCATTTCCCAGAGTTAGAAGTCTTTATGTTCTGTGTCCCTTTCTGATATCTCCCACACATTTCTTCTCCCTTCCCTTATATTCCCCTTCACTATTATTCATATTCCCCAAATGAGTGAGAACATACACTGTTTGTCCTTCTCCGATTGACTTACTTCACTCAGCATAATACCCTCCAGTTCCATCCACGTTGAAGCAAATGGTGGGTATTTGTTGTTTCTAATTGCTGAGTAATATTCCATTGTATACATAAACCACATCTTCTTTATCCATTCATCTTTCGATGGGCACCGAGGCTCCTTCTCACACATAAAGGAGCTAGAGAAGAAGCAGCAAATCGACCCGACGCCCAGCAGAAGAAGAGAGTTAATTAAAATTCGAGCAGAACTCAACGAAATTGAGACCAGAAGAACTGTGGAACAGATCAATAGAACCAGGAGTTGGTTCTTTGAAAGAATTAATAAGATAGATAAACCATTAGCCAACCTTATCAAAAAGAAGAGAGAGAAGACTCAAATTAATAAAATCATGAATGAGAAAGGAGAGATCACTACCAACACCAAGGAAATACAAACGATTTTAAAAACATATTATGAACAGCTCTACGCCAATAAATTAGGCAATCTAGAAGAAATGGACGCATTCCTGGAAAGCCACAAACTACCAAAACTGGAGCAGGAAGAAATAGAAAACCTGAACAGGCCAATAACCAGGGAGGAAATTGAAGCAGTCATCAAAAACCTCCCAAGACACAAGAGTCCAGGGCCAGATGGCTTCCCAGGGGAATTCTATCAAACGTTTAAAGAAGAAATCATACCTATTCTACTAAAGCTGTTTGGAAAGATAGAAAGAGATGGAGTACTTCCAAACTCATTCTATGAGGCCAGCATCACCTTAATTCCAAAACCAGACAAAGACCCCAGCAAAAAGGAGAATTACAGACCAATATCCCTGATGAACATGGATGCAAAAATTCTCAACAAGATACTAGCCAATAGGATCCAACAACACATTAAGAAAATTATTCACCATGACCAAGTAGGATTTATCCCCGGGATGCAAGGCTGGTTCAACACTCGTAAAACAATCAATGTGATTCATCATATCAGCAAGAGAAAAACCAAGAACCATATGATCCTCTCATTAGATGCAGAGAAAGCATTTGACAAAATACAGCATCCATTCCTGATCAAAACTCTTCAGAGTGTAGGGATAGAGGGAACTTTCCTCGATATCTTAAAAGCCATCTACGAAAAGCCCACAGCAAATATCATTCTCAATGGGGAAGCACTGGGAGCCTTTCCCCTAAGATCAGGAACCAGACAGGGATGTCCACTCTCACCACTGCTATTCAACATAGTATTGGAAGTCCTAGCCTCAGCAATCAGACAACAAAAAGACATTAAAGGCATTCAAATTGGCAAAGAAGAAGTCAAACTCTCCCTCTTCGCCGATGACATGATACTCTACATAGAAAACCCAAAAGCCTCCACCCCAAGATTGCTAGAACTCATACAGCAATTTGGTAGCGTGGCAGGATACAAAATCAATGCCCAGAAATCAATGGCATTCCTATACACTAACAATGAGACTGAAGAAAGAGAAATTAAGGAGTCAATCCCATTTACAATTGCACCCAAAAGCATAAGATACCTAGGAATAAACCTAACCAAAGAGGTAAAGGATCTATACCCTAAAAACTATAGAACACTTCTGAAAGAAATTGAGGAAGACACAAAGAGATGGAAAAATATTCCATGCTCATGGATTGGCAGAATTAATATTGTGAAAATGTCAATGCTACCCAGGGCAATTTACACGTTCAATGCAATCCCTATCAAAATACCATGGACTTTTTTCAGAGACTTAGAACAAATTATTTTAAGATTTGTGTGGAATCAGAAAAGACCCCGAATAGCCAGGGGAATTTTAAAAAAGAAAACCATAGCTGGGGGCATCACAATGCCAGATTTCAGGTTGTACTACAAAGCTGTGGTCATCAAGACAGTGTGCTACAGTCCTCCTTTAAGTGCTATGTTTCCCATGTTATATTTTTTAATAAAAGAACTTCAAGAATTTTTAGTATTTGTCTGTCTTTCATATATTTAGTCTCCCCTTTCCTTTTATTATAAGGAATTTTGTAGTATTCTTGTTTTTCTCTTCATTCTAGTCTCTCACCTATTCTATGAAGCCTTTTTTGATCCCTCCTCTTTCCCATTACCTCCTGAAGAGTTAGACTTTTTTTTGTTTCTTATAAAACTTATTATAAATTAAGTTATACATGTATGTATATATATATAGTTCTCTCAATTACCTCACCTTTGGTGTAATACCATAATTTTCCTGTTCCTTTTGGTTATAAGGACAGTCTCCTCTTTGGTAATTAAGACTTAGTCTTACACATTTTTAAAAACTCAAAATTCACTCCACTTATAGGGGTTATGAGGGATTGAGGGTGTTCTGACGCCACACACTTTTCCTTTCTTCCATGTGTTGGGGCAGAGAGGAAGCAGGAGAAAAGGCAAACCCATCATTAAACTGGGTGAAGTTTTCATCTCCTTTTAGGTTGTGGCTGCCTCTGGCTCACACTGACTGGTTCTCATGCCCTGTTGTCAGGCATTTAAAAGCTGGCTCATTGCCACATGTAAGATTCTTCCTGGCCTAACCTACTGGCAGCTCACTGATGAGTCTTTGAATTTAGAACATGTAAAAATTATTATCTTTGGTGCTTCGTTTAGGCCTTACATGCAATTCTGGGACTATAGGAAACTCCTGTTCAGTAATATGTGAAATTTATTTTAAAGTCAGTGTTCCACAGTCCAATAGGAAAATAACAAACAGTCTTCCAGAGGAGGGTGTTAGGTCACTAAAGAACACTTCTTTAGTGCAGTTTCATACCTATGTTTATTCTGTATCCTGAAATAATTCAGCGTCTAGGAAACTTCATCCCAACATGTTATTCTAGAGCTGTGCCAAAGGTACTATTTAAATATAAATTAATTTAAATTTACATTATTGAAACTTGATAAAATAAAAATGTAGTTTTTCAGTCACATCAGCCATATTTTAAGTGCTTAATAGCCATGTGTGGCAAGTGGCTTCTGTATCAAATAGCACAACATTACCATCATTGAGAAAATATCTGTTAGCCACTGCTTCTCTAGAGGACAGGGATGAGAATTTTTGTTTTCTAGAGGATAGAGATGAGAATATTTTTGTTACCACAGGAAAGTCAGACACATAGAATCAATTATATACACCAACCAGTTACTCTTTCACAAGATTTTCTTTCCTTGCCCATATGAAGGAAGTCTGTGAAAGGGAAAAAAGCACACTCCTGTACAATGTACTGCTTTCAAATTCATCTGATAGTTAGCTTTTCTTGTGGAAACTTCAAGTAATTGTTACTGCAAATGTAGTTGGCAGCAGCATTCGAAGTTCAAACATTTCCACCCACCATAGACAAACCCCCTAGTTTATCCTTCCCATTTCCTTTCTTACTATTCCCTCATTCCTTCGGGGAGGGTTGGCACAACTTCAGTCCCAAGACAAGGGGAGACTGGCATAAGTAGAAAGGCAAATGTGTGTGTGTGTGTGTGTGTGTGTGTGATGTGTGTGTGTGTGTGTGAATTTTGGGAGAAGTGAGTTGATTTTAAGAAAAATATTTTTTTTTTTTTTTTTTTTTTACCAAACCCTTAGATATCATTTAACTGAATGCCTGCCCCCATTTTACATGTGATAAACTGGGGCTAGAGAAGATTGCTCAAAGTTTTATCAATAGTTAATGGTAAATCTGGAACTAAAAAACTAAAACCTTTATTCCATGACATCATTTATCATTCCCATTTTAATTTTTAATTCACTATTCTATTGCTGCATATACAATGACAAGAGTTTAGAGGTAAGACTAATTAATTATAATGAATTTATTATTTTAAAAGTGTTGCTTTTTGTATATTTTAAGGTTTTGATAATTGTAATTTTTCAGATTGAAGAAGAAGAGAGGAAAAAAATAGAAGATATGAAAGAAAAGGAACGAATAAAAGCAACTAAAGAATTGGAAGCCTGGAAAGAATGTCAAAGAAAAGCTGAAGAACAAAAAAGAATTCAGAGAGAAGAGAAATTTTGTGAACAAGGAAAGAAAATTGAAGAAGAGAGACACAAATTAAAACATAAGAGCCTTACTAAAATTTCGTCATCTAGAAATCTTGCCACGAAAGGTATGATTACTTTAATATTTTCTGGGAAAGTGAGTCCATTTGAAGTAGACATATCCCTTTTCTTTGTAATCTATTTACAATATTAGGTCATTATTTTGGTATACTGAGAACAAGTACTACCATATAGAGGCTAAGGTGAAGGATTTATTTCTTTCTTTAGGAAATAGTGACATTTTCAAAATACAATGAGCAAGGATTCAGTGTTGTTTTTGCTTGCGTGCTTCATTTTGAAATGTATGCTGGTGTGGTTAAATAAGTGTTTAACTCAGATCCAAAAAGACTATTTGTAGACTAGTAATGCCAGAGGCATTCATTTATTTCTTTAGAGAAAAGAAACTAGGAATTTTATTAAAGACTTTTTCCTCACATGACTCAGGAACATGAGTACTATTGCACAAACTTAGTTGTAAGCAAATAGGGGCTCTAAATTCTAAATTTTTTAATTTAGAAGTTTTTTCTTTTTTGTATGTATTCATTTTATATTAAGGATATTCCTCTTCATTCATATTTGTGGAAAATCTGTTTTTAAAGTTTTGACATTGCCTTTTAAATCAGTGTATCATATTTTTTGTACTTTTGCATCGTTAAAGTTACCTTTCCCTCCTTTTCCTCATATATGTTATATTCTAACGCATAATTTCTCCTCTTATATTGACTTAATAATTATTACATCAAACTATACAAAAAATGTATAGCTTTTGGGCAGCCCCGGTGGTGCAGCGGTTTAGCGCTGCCTGCAGCCCTGGGGTGTGATCCTGGAGACCCGGGATTGGGTCCCACGTTGGGCTCCCTGTATGGAGCCTGCTTCTCCCTCTGCCTGTGTCTCTGCCCCCCCCCTCTCTCTGAATAAATAAATAAATCTTAACAAATAAAAATCTTTAAAAAATGTATAGCTTTTCATTATTGCTCTTTGTTTATTCTCATTAGCTATCTCTGATGGCTGAAAAATTTTTATACTGTCATAAGGAAGCTTATAGAAGATATTGCTGTAGGATTTTAAGGGAAATAGAGATAGCATTGGTAATGATGGCTTTCTAAAGTGGATGTAGAGTTGCTTAGGGTGCCCTTCCCTGGAATGAATGTAAATTAAAATTCTCTTTCTGGGATCCCTGGGTGGCTCAGCAGTTTAGCCCCTGCCTTTGGCCCAGGGCGTGATCCTGGGGTCCCGAGATTGAGTCCCGCGTCGGGCTCCCGGCATGGAGCCTGCTTCTCCCTCCTCCTGTGTCTCTGCCTCTCTCTCTCTCTCTCTCTCTCTCTGTGTGTCTATCATAAATAAATAAATAAATCTTTAAAAAAAATTCTCTTTCTGTTTTAACAAAGAGAATCCTAGAAAAGTAGCTGAAGTCATTGATTAAAGAACAGATAACTAGGTGCCACACTTTTGATGATGGATTTTACATTGCTTCTAGCAGAGATTATCTTTGGTTTATTTGTATAGAATTTTAGAAGTAGCTTTGATGTGTGATTACTTTAAAGGTCAGTTTGATTGTTATCTAGAAAATAAGAGAAAGATAACTCATTTGCTAATATTGCTTTTGAAGGAAGAGATTCAGAAAATATATTTTTGGAGAAATTAAAGGAAGATAGTATTCCTGCTCCTCGCTCTATTGGCAGTATTAAAATCAACTTTACCCCTCGAGTATTTCCAACGGCTCTTCGAGAATCACAAGTAGCAGAAGAAGAGGAGGTAGATATACTTGTTCTTAGTTACAGTGATCACAAATGAAAATACTTGATTTTTTATTTCATCTATTAAAACTAATACTGGGTTTTGAATTTCTTAAATATTTATTACACTTAAGATATTACTGCTTGAATACATTTTAGTATTTTGTTTTGAAAAAAAAAACTATATTTTGCAGAATTTTTTTTTGCCTCCTGAACACTGTTGAGAGAACATTGATTTAGTATGCAGTATTATTGCTTATTCCAGAAGATAAACTGTTACACTTGCCATCTGTTTTGTCAAATGCATCACTTCCTATCTTAGATTTATAAACTTGTATTTTAGTAAGGGATCAATATGTGTTTGGTAAGAGATTTGGACATGTATTATTTTAATGTTATTACAACTAATTATTATTAACATCAGTAATTTCTAATGTGACATTCTAGAATATCTCTCATTCAGTTTATAAATTTATAAATTCCTGGGACCTGGGATTTTGAATGTTGTATCTTTAGTTGTATATAGGCACTAAGAACTGCATTCTTTACTACAAGGTATTAATTGTTGCCTCTCACAATTGAAAAGTTGTGGAAGTAATTAAAGATCCTTAAGACATGATGACAATTTATAAATATTACTATTTTCTTATTAAACAATGTATTCTAAATTTTATTATTTGTAAAATTATTTCTAGAATTAGAAAATTATAATTATTTAAAAGTCATTTATATTTTTTCAATATGGAAAAACAAATATGTTATGAACAAGAAAAATAAAATAATAATCACATGAACTCCCAGAAATTTGTAGGAAATTTGCACTAGAAATTTCCATACATTTGATCTTGACTAGCTAGTAATGTTAAGCCAAAAAGGACAAAAACTGAAAGTTTAAAATCACATTATCAAATAGTATATTAGTCTACTCAGGCTACTCTAACAAAATATCCTAGACTGGGTGGCTTAAACAACAGAATTTTGTCAAAGTTCTGGAGTCTAGAAAGTCCAAGATCAGAGTGCAAGAGCTGTGCCTCTTCTAATGAGGACATTAATCTCATCATGGGGTCCCCACCCTCATGGCCTCATCTAAATCTAATTACCTCCCCAAAGTCCTATTTCCAAATACCATCATATTGGGGATTAGAACTTCAAAATATGAATTTTGGAAAACACAAATATTTAGTCCATAACAAATAGTATTTCCATCTTATGGTAGAAGCTGAGATATCTCAAAGTAGCTGTTAATAAAAATATGACTTTTGTGTCCTTCATTAGACTTTATTCTCTGATTTCAGTGGTTACACAAACAAGCAGAGGCACGAAGAGCACTGAATACTGATATTCCTGAACTTTTTGATTTAAAAGAAGAAGAAAAGAACCCAGAATGGCTAAAGGACAAAGGAAAGTATGTTGTTTGAACTCTGGCTATGAGATTTATAATAAATTAGGTACACCTTAGTCTTAAAATATTTTCAAGATATCTTGACATATGTGCTTATGTGTATGTGTTGTTGGGGAAAGATAATGCAAATAAGCAAATTAGGTAGGCGAGGCTTCCATATTTAAAAAGTCAGATCATATTAACAAGGCTCCTATTTTTGTTTTTGTATTTAAATGTCACAGAAGTGAAATATATGACATCTTTCGGTTACTTATTAAAATCCCTTTTAAAATAGCTTACATTTAGCATTAGTTCTTCCTCATACCTCTCTTAAAAGGTGTTTTTTAGGGTTACCTGGGTGGCTTAGTCGGTTGAGCTTCCAACTCTTGATTTCCACTCAGGTCATGATCTCAGAGCTGTGAAATCGAGCCCTGTATTGGGCTGGAGTCTTCTGGGCATGGAGTCTGTTTAAGATTCTCTCTCTCCCTCTGCCCCTCCCCACTTAAAAAACCTCCCTCTCTCTAAAAAAAAAAGTGTTTTTTTTTTTTTTTAGAAATTAGAGCTTCTTTGATTCTTCATATCCATCTTTAAAAGATTACCAAATTATCTTATAAATGATCATGTTATATCCAGGAAGTCCTTTTATTTATCTATATGTTGATCTATGTATGAATATTTTATACAATTATCAAAAACAGTGAATTTTGATACGTTATGAATGGCAATTTGAATTCATATTTTGAGTTGTAGATGTTACTTGTTATATTTCATTTCATATGCTTTTATAATATTTTTCTATTGTTGCCATAACAATCTACCTTAAATTTTGTGGCTTCAAATATCACAAACTTATTATCTTACAGTTTTGGAAGTCAGAAGTTCAAAATGGGTTTCACTGGGCTAAAATCAAAGTAATGGTTGTGTTTCTTCTAGAGCCCATAGGGAAGTATCTATTTCCTTTATTTTCCAATTTTCAGGCTGCCTATATTCCTTGGCTTGTGGCTTCCAGCCAGCAATTACATCACTCTGACCTCTGCTCCCATAATCCCATCTCCTACTCTAACTCTGATTCTCCTGCTTCCCTCTCTCTTTTATAAGGATCCTTGTGATTAGAGTAGTCTTATTTGCATAATCTCCCACCTGAAGACCTTAATTTAGGCCTATCTGTGGAATCCTTCCTGCCATGTTAGGTGACATAGTCACAGGTCCTGAGGATTAGGATATAGACATCTTTTGGGGAGAAGATTTCCTTTTTTTTTTTTTAATAAAGGTTTTATTTATTTATTTATTTATTTATTTATTTATTTATTTATTTATTTGAGAGAGAGAGAGAAAGGGAGCATGAACAAGGGAAAGGGCAGAGGGAAAGGGAGAAGCAGACTCACCTCTGAGAGGGAGCCTGATGCAGGGCTCAAATCCAGGACCCCTGGAATCATGATCTGAGGCGAAGGCATATGCTTAACCAGCTGAGCTGCCCAGGTGCCCCTGGGAGAGAAGGTTTCCATTATCTGTCTACCACAATGTCTATATTTTTCTTTTCTTGTCTTTTCTCTGTTCTTTCTTGTTTTTTTTTTTTTTTTTTCTCTTGTTACACCAGGGATTGATATGTGGAGTTGAGCTGAAATGACAGTTTTTCTGAAGGTCAGAGGCCTGGGTCTGACAGGTTGGTTTCTCTTACTTCCACCACTAAAGCCCTACATGATCATTCCTCCTCTTTCTCCCCTTTCCCTCACTCCCCTATTCCCTCCCTCCCTTCCTCTCTATTCAACCATTAAATAAACATCTTTTGATTGCTTGCTATTTACCAGACTGTAGGTTAGGCTCTGAGCTACAAAGATCAGTGGAGGAGACATACACACAATAGTTATTATACTATATGGGAAATACAATATATAGAAAAGAACAAGGTAAAATGAGAATGGAGAAGAGGGGCACCTACTCTTAAAGGGAGGAAGGTAGGTTCAAAAAAACCTTCATAGAGAATGTAGCACCTGAGGTCCTCTTAGTGACAAGTAGGACTCTTAAGAGAAAGGGAAAGAAAGGCATTCATTTTAAATAATGGAGACAATATGAACAAAAGCTGAAGAGACAAGAAATAATAGTGTGGTATATAGGTTAGAAACTATGTCAGGAGAGGATGTAGGTTAAGTTCAGTTTTTAATATGTTGAGTTTGAGATGTCTCTGGGCCAGTCTGGGTGACACTGTCCAGCAAGTTTGAACCCAGAGGAGAGAAGCCAGCACTGTAGAAATAGATTTGGAGGTTATCAGCATTTATACTGTAGTTAAATTTATAAAAGTAGCCGATATATCCACAGAGTGTATAAGCCAGTAAAGTAGTAGCCTAAGGATAACACTCCGTGACCTACCGACATTTGAAGGTCTTACAAAAGAAAGGAGTACACAAAAATACTCCCAGAAGCCAATGGAGTAGACAATTTATTTTATTTTAATTAATTAATTAATTTATTTATTTATTTTTGAGTAGAAAATTTAAAGTGTTTTTGTTTTGTGTTGTTTCCTTAAGAATATAAAAGATTTGAATAGCTTTGGAAGCAAGAGAAAGAAGAGATGATTGAAATCTCTCTGAGCTGAGGGAAGAAAATTAGGTGAAAGCCAAGAATGAATGGATTGTCTTGATTTTGTTTTCCTTTTCCTCTTTTTAAAAGTTGCATTCACCTAAAAATTTTAGAATAACAAATATTTGGGGGGGGCAAAATTTACACACCACATATTAAATGGAAGTCTCTCTTGTTTTTCACCCATTTTTCTTGGCTAACTGCTTGCACTGCCCCCCAGCTGTAACATTCTAAGTCATTGCTTTAATTACATTTGCTTATCTCTAAGCTGCTGTCATCAAGATCACAGATAATATGTTCATCTCTTATGATAGTATACAGGAGCTTTTGTGTATATATATTATGTCATTAAATCCTAACAACTGTAGTTAGGTAGAACCTACTATTTATGCACTATTCAACAAATGTTTATTGAGAAACTAGCAGCTATACACAAAATAGCTCACATGTTATTCCTATAACAATGTGACTAGTTGTATATTAGTATTTTTATCCCCATCTTGCGAACATGGAAAACAGGGAGAGATAAGTTAAGAAAACATGGCTAAGGTGATGCTTAATGAGTAAAACCAGGATTCAATTCCAGGTCAATATGATTACAAAGCTTGTATTCTAACTCCTTCACAGATGAATAAAATCCACTTCCTGTCCTTGGATCCCAGTTGTGAAGGCAGTCTTAAGTGGTTTGATTATAAATTGCTCTTCCTTGCAATCTGAGAATGCTGAAATGACCAAAGCTGAATGGGCTGTCCTGTTGGATTGATTACTTTGCTCTAGAAAATGTTGACAGATTGACTTGGAATGGACAGATACTTCATTTTCTGAGACTGGAGGAAAGAAAGTGAAGACAAGTATGGGCCTAGATAAGGGAAATTGATTAGTGAATACTGTTCGCCCTGCCAGGTTGGAGAACATGAATTCTTAGAGATGTCAGTATAGCTGTGTAATTTATCTCCTATAGTGTTTAGTCTTTTGGATTTAAGAATAGATCTTTGGGCCAGAGTGGGAGTTTTAACTGACAAGTACAGTAAAAGACTAGTAGTGCAAGGGACTAGATTGTTCATGGGAAAATAGCTCAGATATTTAGCCATGAAGTCCAGGATGGGTTAGAAAGGAAGAGGTGCCACGAGGGGCCCATGGGCTAAGAAAATGGAGCCATTAAGAAATTAGAGGGCATTGGGATCCCTGGGTGGCGCAGCGGTTTAGCGCCTGCCTTTGGCCCAGGGCGCGATCCTGGAGACCCGGGATCGAATCCCACGTCAGGCTCCCGGTGCATGGAGCCTGCTTCTCCCTCTGCCTATGTCTCTGCCTCTCTCTCTCTCTCTCTGACTATCATAAATAAATAAAAAAAAATTAGAGGGCATTGTATGATTGAAGATGTAGTATAAAGGGAAAGGTCGTAGAATAGAAAGTTCTGATTAGCGGCTGGGATTCCAGAGTTTGCTATTTCTAAGGTAGTGCAGTTCAGGCGATGATGGAAGCCAATGTGTGGCCCTGGCAGTGGGTAGCAAAAGTAGAGTTGAAAGGAAGGTATGTTGAGTAGGTGTTCTAGGTATTTCAAGACTAAATTGATAAATGGGTTATATACATAAACCTTAGAATCTTCCGGAATCATGGCAGAAGTTGGGATAGAAACAGATGATGGGAACCAGGTTTCAAAGCCCTTAATGAATATCACAAGAGTGATTTTAAAAAGCCAGTACCAACAGTGACTAGAAGGGTATAGGGTAAACATGTCAGGAGTCCCAAAGGATAGGGACTTCTATAAAAGACTTATAGCTTGGCTCTAGCAGAAGAGAGCCTAGACAATGCCAGTTCCTGCAGTTCCACACCCTCATGTGGGGAGTTGGGGGGAGAGGGTGGTAGAGATTAAGATTAGCACTGCCTTCAGGGCAGAGCCAGGTTTATGTTAGAAAGGATTCTGTGGAAAAGTTGAGGGTATAAAACAGGACTGGGAGGTAGAGTCTATTATGGAAAGAACTAGGAATAAGAAAGTACAAATGAGGAGCCCCTGGCTGCCTCGATCAGCAAAGCAGGAGACTCTGGATCTCAGGGTCTTGAGTTCAAGCATCAGGGTGTGTACAGAGATTACTTAAAAAAAAAAAAAAGTGCTAAGGAGTAGAGGGGAATGGGAGGATGGGAGTAGGAAAGGCCAGCAACATGAAGACAAGGGAGAAGTGTGCTTTTAGATTAGTGCTCAAAGATAACAGGGTTGATTGACATGGTGAGATAGTCTTTTGGTACAGATGTCATGATGCTGGGACTGGCTAAAGGTGCTAGGCAGTGTAGGTTTGGTCTTCTGATATGCTAATGAAGTGATTTGGATTTAAAAGTAGAAAGGGCAGATAAGATTGTTGAGCCAGGGTTGGCATTTTGACTGACCAGTGCAGTAAAAGCATGTGTGTGTGTGTGTGTGTGTGTGTGTGTGTGTGTGTGTGTGTGTGTGT